TTTTGGCGGGATTTTAGTTATTATGTTAGGTAAATACAAACTTCGGCTTTTTTTATACATATAGATGCTAATTATTGTTTATGAATTGATTTTTTGTCATATACTTTTTACTAGTTTTTAATTTTTTTTTTAGCTCATAACTCATTTATAAATGAATAGAGCTTGGTTGTTTATTCCCAAAAAAACCCAATCCAAACACAAATATAACTAAACTTAAACTCAACCATCACTATCCTTATTATTATCAATATAATATAATCAAATGATACCAATTAATTTATCCTTACAAATCAATATCAACTTTTATTCAATTAATCATTTTTTTAAATAATATTTTAATATAAATTCAAAATCCTACTCAACAAACTTTCTTAAAATTAACTATAATTAACCAAAAAAATCAATTCAAACCAAAAGAAATCAATAAACAAGATGCGGTTTTATTTTAAATGTATGCGTTTTCAAAAAAGTTTTAAAAAAATGTAGTAAATGTCTTGCCAAATCAATGGTCTGCCATGGGATATAATCCTTTCAAGCAGTCAATCTTGTCTTATAGTTATCTTATAATCAAAATAATGACAAATAATTAATTCTCCACTAATAAATAATTATTTAGAAATAGTAATTAAAGTTGATAATGTGAAAACACATTAAAATTTACTGATAATTATAAATATGTGTCATATCTTTAAAATTTATAATTTACTTAAGGCGAAATTCGACGCATAATTTGATTTCTCAATCAAATTAGATTGTGTTTCGCATTTCTCAATCAAAATTTATCCTAAAGAAAATTTCGTATAAGAAATCTTGAATTTTATTACATAATTTCCGGTCTAATTTCTTAATCAAATTCAGTTGTATTTGGCATTTCTCTATCAAATTTATTGCATAATTCCAGTATAATTTCTCAATCAAATTCGGTAGTATCTGGCATTTCTCCATCAGATTTTGTTGTCAAGATTCCAGCATAATTTCTTAATCAAATTCGGTCTGGCATTTCTCTATCATATTTTGTCGTCAAGATTTTGTTTAAGAAATCTTGAATTTTTGAATCGTACTCAATCAAATTTCAATTTTCTAAATCCTATTTTCTTCAAATTGGCTTTGAACGGATACGTGGATAGTTTATCATGTTTATTGCTAATAAAATGTGATTAGGTCTCTAAATAATTATTTCCTATTATGGATTATTTATTTAATACACAAATATATATCTCCATATATTAATGTAAAGTTTTTTTAAATTTATATGTATTAATCTATCGGTTTGTAATTTTATATGTTAGTTTATAATATTTTGTAATGTTATTTGTTAATTTTTCTTAATGTTTTGAAGTACTCTATGACTTTTATACATGAATATGAACTCTTAAAATTACAAACCACTTAATTAAAACTTATAACTATAAATATTTTAAAACTTTTTTATTTTCGTATAAAATATATCAAATTAACCATTATGCATGAACCAGTTATCGGTCTATCTTTTATCCTGTTATATTTATTTCAATAAACGAGTCTTACAGATAGACGATGATAAGTAATTTTTTTAATTAAAACCTTGCCGTGTATTACATAGAGTGTTCTGTGGATACTAGTAATATCCACACAAATCAGATAAATAAAAAGGAGGAACAACATAATCTAGAAAATATCTCAAACAATTTATTCAAAACAATTCCAGATTACAGATTTTATTACTTGACAAACGCATTCATACATAAGTAGTCAAAAAAGCCATGACCACCTATTGACCCTTGAGTACTATATATACACACACATATCACATATTTACAAATATATTCATTGCTTAATTTATCTCTCACACAAAAAAAAAAGTAAAAAAAAATTAAAGAATCAATGGTGCTAACCAATGGTAGCAACAATGTAAGACATTGTTGTTTTGCATCAACTTATATACATCCATTCCAAAAACCCATAAATAGTAAATAAAATCACTGATATTAATAGTTAGCTAGTATATATAAATCAATTCTCATTTGATTTGATTTCATTTGATTTATAAGAAATCACTAATATTGATTGTTAGTATAAATCAATTCTTATTTTATT